AGTAACTGCTTAGACTGACTTCACAAAAAAAGTCAGCCCTTGTTAAAAAAATAATATATTTCTGTACTAATACAAACACAAGGAAGTGTACAAATTGTGTAAAGCTGTAATTATATTTGATCTTACATGTTTTCCATCCTTCATCTGAAGATCCTAAAGTTTTAAAGGAAGTCAAAGTCAGTAACCATGTAATTAATAAACAGGAAGTATATCATTATTGTTTGTTTAAATCCAATGGTACTGATTTTCCCAAGAATGCAAACACATGCCTACATCGGCGTTCTAAGTAATTACAGATTTTTCTATAGAGTCCTGAAATCTAGTTTAACATGTTACTGCATTTGCATCCCCACAAGTAACTGCTTAGACTGACTTCACAAAAAAATGTGAAATCTAGTTTAACATGCTACTGCATTTGCATCCCCAACCCTTGCTGGCAGATTATCAGCATCTTTTGAAAAATGTCCTTCTTAAATCTTTCACGTTTATTCAGCATGCAATCAGCAGAACAGTTCTCTCAGTTATATCCATTGAAAAAAGCATGAAATATGACTGATTTGGTGCAATTAATTAAAAATTTCAGGTACTTTGAAATTTATTTCAGTATTTGGAAAACAGTTTTATTTGCTTGCCTTGTTTTTCTTATTTTCTATGCTGCAGGCCAAATTTTAAGTGACGCTAAAGTCCTCATCCATTTATGCAACTACATTGAACCATGGGATGATTTATCCTTGTCTCAAAAGAAGAGCCTTAATCAGAGATACCAAATGGGCTGTGGCTGCAAAGTGAGTACAGAACAAAACACTGCCTAACGGTGGAGCCCACCTTACAGGCTCTGGCAGTTTTCCCTGATGGGAACTGGGGGGTTTATGCACCGTATATTTTATGTACCTTGAGAATAAATGCCGTTTTAAAAAAACCTGCAATATACTGAATGAATGTACTATTTCACACTCAGATTACTACCTGCTACATGGTGCCCTGCTCAATCACTACACCAAATGAGTGCCTCTGGACAGACTGGCTGATAGAAAGAAAGCTCTATGGGCACCAAGCCAAGCATTATGCCTGTATCAAGAGAAGCGATGGCACTTGCAGCTGGTACCGAGGTGGTCCTCCCCCAGAGAAAGAGTTTATTGATATCAGCGAACCTTAAAGCGATCACTTCCTAAAAAGCCTTGGAGTCTAATTCCATCAAACACTGCACGCTCACAGCTTCGAACTGCCATCGTCTAATGTATCTGTTGCTTAGAAACAAAAAGAAATTGTCCTGTACAGCTAAAGTACGAGTCTGTGGAATTGGCCCTCACGCAAGATGAGGAGCAAACCTCCTGGAGGTAGCTACTCTGTTCAGTTGTGCTTTGCACAGAGGCCCGAGCTAAGAATGCTCCTCTGTCCTCTAAGGCACAACAGGTTTCCCTTTTACCAATACGAATGTACAAGAACAAATGAATTGCCAGAATTGTGTCCCCTATTTCTGTTAACCTACAGGTTAAGAGAGCCCCATGTTTTACTCCAAATCTTTCTGATGAACTACGGAATGTTTTATAGAACTATTTTTTTCTGTATGAAAGTCTTCTGATACATAAGAATTATTGTACAGTGTATATGTAAAGTATTATAACAATGTTCTATAAAAAAAGATTCAAAAATCCCTGGTTTTCCTTCTCTGTTGAAATAAGTTGAACACTTTGGTGATTAAACAATCTGTGCTCCATCTTCTGTATGTTACTTATGTCACAGCTTTCGTCATCTACAGAGTCGTAACCTTCATTGATAACTAAGCTAAAAAACAGCCTTGATGATCCAAATCCTCTTACCCAGTTCAGCACTCCTATAGACTAGCTATACCTTGGTGAAAGAAAAGCCAGATGTTCTAATGCTTCAGCATTTTATGGAATCGACACAAATAATGACAAGCTAAAACTGCTTATATTTACCGAAACTACGTCCACCGTCAGGGCAGCTGAAGTACTCGATACTGCCTCTCTCAATACGCGTCTGAGTCGTTTTATTTTAGCGCTGTTAAAAGCCTTGGCTTTGGAAACTCATGGGAAAATACACGCAACAGATACTGAATAGCTTGCACTGAAAGAGATTGCTAAAAAGCTCTCATGTTTGACCAGATTTAATAGTTTGAATCCACATTATGATTTTTCATTCATGAATACCCATTGTACTCTGTCATAATGAATTTGGTAACTCACAAACTTACGCTAGAGAAGTGTTACAACATATTTTGCCTTTTAGTTTTTTAGTGTCTTAACTTGTCCGAAGTGATTACTGTAGTTAGTAACTAATCTCACACATATTTTAAGTTTACAAAAGTAACTCAATTCACAGTGGTAAAACTTAAGAAATTATTTCAGTAAATGCCAAAGTTTAGACAGTTGTCCAACTGCCTGTGTTCTAGAGACTGGACGAGAACCGTCACGCAGGATATCAATCTGTAATAGCTGCCATTTCTGACCTAATTTACTCTCTCCAATTTTCTTCATTGGGTTTCTCTCACTTCATTCCAATTTTGGGTAGAAATTACTCTCACATATTTCTCATACGAGAATTTAGAACAAGAGGCAGTGATTTAGCCAGGTCTGCTCTCACGCAGTTAGATCAGGTCTACCTAAAGGTTCCACACAAACACCTTGCTCATTCCTCCTAACCATGGTGTGACGTTTCCAACCTGTGGGCTCATTAAGAATCAGAGCTGTTATCATCTGCTCGTTCCAGGGTCCAGCTTTCCAGATAGCTCCTTTAGACTGACTGCTATAGAGTCCTTATAAAAGCATCGGGACTTAAACTTGTAAAGAAGATATGCACATCTTGAAGAGTACAGGCGTCCCAAATTCCATTCAGTTCAACAAAGCAGTTAGTTTGGACGTAAAATTCAGCATGTCCCATGGATCTTGTCACACCCTAAGACACGTTGTATTGGATATATAACATTTACTTACAAACCAACCTGTATAAATGACTTTGTGACACACTCTGTTCATGTTTCTAATGCTTATTTTGACGATCTTATGAATCTGTATTTAAAGGATAGGCAACGGCAGCTTTGAAAACACTCTTGTGAGAATAAATACTTTTACTTTTTTTGTGGCTAAACTTCTACAATTCTAATGAAGTGCAAATAGTGCAAGGCCAACAGGAAGGCATGCTGTTATTCCTTTGAGGGATATGTGCCTCTTAATATTCAATATTTCACTTTTTATTTACTGTAAATCAGTTTTGCTGTTTTAATTTA